AATCAAAAAGGCTAAGGACATCGGCTTGGAAGGACAACACTTGACTAAACTGTGCCACACCTTGGCCTAGATGTGCCACACTTCGGTCTAGTCATACCATTCCAGCGAGCAAAATCACTCACGCAAGGATCAAGGATCTAGAACGCCTTAGAATTAACATCTCGGCCTAGGCTACCGCCACCTCGGCCCAGATGATGCACAGTCTCGCCAACATGCAAGGTGAAGCGATGGGGTCGATCAAAGGGTTCCAAGATAGTTCTAAGTGATAAAGGTTTCAAAAGGTGAAAGCTTAAGACGACCTCGGCAACCACACCAGGCAAAGAAACAAAGTTAGCAGCAATCACCTTCAAGCAAACAAGACAAGTTTGTAAATGTTCATATAAAACAAGATCATCCATAAATGTTATTACTAGATGACTAAGCAAAATGAGGGTGTTACAGCCGGTGCTTCCCCACCGGTGCAAACACTAAGGGCGGATGAGCCCTTACTAACAATTCCCTGGGCTGATCTTCAACTCAACTTAACGTCGGCTGGGCAAACGGCTAAGGTGCCATAGAAATCGCACCGTGCCGGGCACTAAATCAATAGAAGAACTCTATCTCTCGGTGAGGTGGCAAACTAACAAGATCCTCGGGGAAAGAACATCGAATACTCACAAACCAACCCCTCGCAACACAAATCTGGGTCTCCGTCAACACTACTACTCAAAAGGCTAGCAAGAAACGCACTTAAGCTCACTCCATCCTCGCGGATTATGCCACCTTGGCACACACTACCAACACCGATCCCCCAGAAATGAAACCACTCCCGCTCAAGGTACATACTGTGAACCCTCTTGCGCGGAACATCAATAACAGGTCCGGTTGACGATAGCCAGTCCATACCCAAAAATAACATCAAAACCTTTCATGGGCATGACAACAAAAGAAAAGGAAGCCTATGGTCGGCAACCTTTATATCACAACCTCTATATCCGTGTTTCAAATCAATTCACCTCCAACAGGTGATACAACACATATAGGAGATGCTAATAGTGCCAACTCCAACTCCAACACAGATGCAAATGCAGCAGATACAAAAGAATGAGATGCACCCGTATCAATCAACACACTAGCAACTGAGTTGCAAACAGAAGGTACCTCTCACAACTGATGGAGCCGGTACTAGGTCCTGCACGGTAACAGCTATACGCGCCCTGTAGGCCCCTGATCCACCTGCTCACCTCTAGAGCAAAAGACTTGCTGCACAGACTGGGATGACGAAGCCGCCAGATTGGCCCTCGACTGCACAGACTGAGTTGACTAATAACCCTGCGTCTGCCTAGAACTAGATGCCCCGAAGTGGCATCAACTGTGGGCAAAAACCTCTTCAGGTGCCCGGGCTGACCACACTGATAGCAAGACAAAGGCTGGCCTCGCCCTGACTATGGCCTGACGTCTAGCTGAAGAAGAAGGCAGCTCGCTGACCCCCTCCCTTCTGTGGGTAAACTGAAGACTTGTGACCCAGCTGGCCACAAGTGAAACAAGTCAAACCTCCCTGATTACCTCTCCCCGGAGCCTGCACTGGCACTGGAAAGGTCGATCTAGCCAAACACCCTGAGACTGCTGAGGGTTGAAACCCTCTGTCCCTGCCATCACCCTGGCCATCTTGGCTCCTCTTGGAACCTCTATGCTTCTCCTCATCCTCCTCCTACATCATAATCTCCATATGAGCTGCAGCATCCACTGGACATCTATACTCCCGAATAAAGGACTCTCAACACTCAACTTGAGTCCACGCCTCAACTTCCGCTCAAACTCTAAGCAACGGCGTTCCTCGGACACCACAAGTTCAGGTGCGAACCTGGACAAGCTAGTAAAAGTAGCCTCAAACTCGGCCACTAACAAACCCTGCTGTTTAAGTTGGCAAAACTGCTCCTCAGCTTCTCCTAGCAGCTAAAGATAAGAACCTCTTCTGGAAAGCATTCACAAAGGCTCCCATGCACCACCAACACTGCCTTTCTCGTACTTCCACCACTGACCTGCATCTCCTTTCAGTTGGAAGGATGCCAAGTCACCTTTAAAGCCCCGTCCTCGATGCCAAGCATCTCGAACGTCTTCTCCATCTGTTCCAACCACTCGTCAGCCTTAAGTGGCTCCTTCGGATCCCACAAACTCGTCCGAATTGGACCGGAAGAATTCCCTTTTCAAGAAGGAAGGCCCTGCCTCAGCTGCGTGGGCCTGCTCCTGATTCCCAGCTCCGAGAATACCCAAAGTCCTGCTATTTCTCGGGCCAAGGCACCATAGCCTGCTGACCCCTGGCTCGGCCACATGGACCTGACCAACTCCCTCCGCTGTGCTGGAATATCATCCGGTAAAGGCATCTCCTGCTTACCACGCCTGCACGCTTACCATGTCTTCGTCCTGACATCCTAATAAAGGTAACCAAGACTATTAGCACCATTCACAATGTGCCGAAGCTATAACGCTCACGTCCTAATGCATGGACAACTGGAATTCACTCCACGTAAGCACCTAATCACGTAAGCAATTACGAATTTCATTTCCAGATAATGACAGTCCTAAGGCGTTACTAGAGTTCCGGTTAGAACAACATTGATCAAGTGCCTTTCCAACAAGACTCCCAGAAACCCAAGGATTCAATCAACATCCTAGAAACTACATTCCATACCCATATAGTCACATAAGCATGTTATCAATTAAACACATAGCATATGACACTACATCTAAGTCTCTATCAAGTGAGACAAACCCATTGTGATACTAATCACTTCCCACGTATCCAAAGTATTTGAACCGCGGTGCGCTCTGTACCAAATTGTAACGCCCTAAAAAAATACATAATACCCATCATTCAGACATGCAGTAATATAAGAAAATCAACGCCTTTCCATTCATCAAAGTAGTTCTTACAACAGTATTACATGTTAACAACAAAAGGCAAGTGCCCTACGGGCTTACAGCTCTCCAAGTCAACACTTGGTTACACAAAAGAAGAGTACTAACTCTATACAAAATAAGCCCTTGGCTTGATATAAATGTAACACAAACAAAATTAAATCAAAAAGAATTTTCAACTCCCATAACAATCCAAGCTATGTTCTTAGAGGTGGCATGCTACTTGTACTTGAAAAATAATGTCCCATATAGGGTGAGCCACCCTAGTAGAGATATGCTAACACGATATGAGCAGTAACTAAGACATTAGCAATTGACAAATGTTTAACTCCCATAAATCAATTCATAAAACCATTTCCATTACATGACCACTATGTCTATGTTTTCATTTCATTTTCCATTTCTTATCCAATTTCCAAATTCATACCCATGGCTCAAAACCTGGCCACACACTCTAAACAATAATAATTCATATTAAACGTTTCCCATTTCGCAATAGATAACATACAAGTTGTATCAACACCTCCACAAATATGCATATGAGCTATATCAACACTTCCATAGATAAGCATATGAGCTATATCAACACTTCCACGGATAAGCATATGAGCTGTATCAACACACTAACTGACAAGCATATGAGCTGTATCAGTGGAGTCTATCCCCTATCTCCTCCCAAACAACATCCGGTTTAGAGGTCCATCCCCTATCTTCCCCTAAACCGTGGGATTACATCCCTATCTCCTCCCATACACACAACGTATATACACATAGGTCATACACACAATCAATCAATACATAACGTTAATGTATATCTATCGCCTCCGTCATACTCTATGACACATCCACTTGATTAGTTTTAGTTTGCCTAATCATCATGCATTGTCTACAACAATCAAAACTACCCTCCACCGGTAGCCCAAAGTAATTATTTCTAAACAGATAACAAAAGCTCCAACAGATAAAATATCAATGTTTTCAAGAGTGAGTGCTTAATAAATCCAACTCTACCATTCTACAATATAATGAGCCAATTTCATTATTTCCAACTCAATTCCAAATAACAACAATTTTTCCAAATTAATTATACCAATTAATTTATACAACAGATTAGGGTTTTCTACCCCATTTCCCAATATAGAACCAAGAGTCCAAATATCAACAACCAACAACAATATCATTATTTTGAAACCCAAAATACACATTTTAGAATTAAAATAACAAACCCCCTTTTATACATTTTGAAACCCTAGATCTCAAAATCAAACCATTTAACAAAGTGCCCAAAAATCTAGGTCAAAACCCATAAGAGTGAGTAGGAATCACTACCTCAAAAGATGAAACCCAACGAAGGAGATGACGAACATGAAAATGCTCCAAATCACAAATTTCTCGGATCAAAAGATAGCCCTCGACGATCAACAACCTTTTTGTAAAGGCCAAAGGAGAGGAAACAACTCCTACTAGGTCAATACTTAGAGAGAAGTGGAGGTTTTAGAGAGAGAAGCTCTCAAATGGCGTTTTTGAAAAGTAAGAGGGAGAGTGAGGATGTAAAAAGTGACTTGAAAATGCCCAACTGCCTTCTGATATACGACAGGTCCGCTCGAGCGGAAAACACAACGCTCAAGCGTCAAGAACAAAATACTGAGTTCGCTCGAGCGCAAGAAGTCCCGCTCGAGCTCCAAGACACTCGAGCGTGAAAACCAGTCCGCTCGAGCATAGATTTTTCCCTTCTAGAACTTACACCAAAAAAGTACTACCCGCTCGAGCGCCAACAAACCCGCTCGAGCATGACCCACTCGAGCGCAGGAAATCCGTTCGAGCGTAGAAATCACGCCTGCAGAAGTTTTGCAGAGCACGAAAGTACTGGGAGTGTGCAATCTCCGCTTGAGCGCTAGACGACCCGCTCGAGCGGAATGACCAAAAACCTGGCAACAAGAAATTAGACCAAGGCTCGACCCACCTGCTCGAAACATGCCCAACACATCCTAAAACTCAATCAAATGGAATTAAAGGACGACAACAAGGTAGACACAACTACCAACTCCATGGAACTGAGTCCGAAATGCAACTGAACAGTAAAGGGAATACCGGAATGCTATATGGGTGACTATAGTTACGAGCCAACTGTGGTAGGGTTCCATGAAAAGCTTGAGAAATTAAAAGAAGAGGGTAAGCAACGAGCACATAATTTTTTCAAGGACTTGGCACCTGAGCACTGGGCGAATTCATACTTCAAGTAATAGTAGTTTTCTAATGTATTCCATTTGTTAAGTTTAGAATGGTAGCGATGTGAATTTTCAGTTATGTTTTGTGGCAATGTGAAATTTCATATTCAGTTTCGAAGAAATTAAATTCAATATTGTACAATGTTTGTGATGTTGTGCAGGGGCATGTGTTATGGAGAGATGATATCCAATGCGGCAGAGTCATTTAATAATTGGATTAAAGAAGGACACAATCTTTCTATCACTCAAATAGTGGACACAATTCGTACTCAGTTGATGCAGCAAATGTCTAAACGGCGTGACCAAGCAAACAAGTGGAATGAGCTTATTTGTCCTACATTCGAAATAATGCTTCTTGATTCGTTCAACAATAGAAAGTCTTGGCAAGTTAGCAAAGCCAATGAGGATGTGCTTAAAGTTCATTCGATACCATCTGTTACAGTTGATATTGCAAGGCGTACGTGTTCTTGCTTCAAATGGCAAATCAACGGATTCCCATGTGACCATGCTGTTATTTCTATTCAGAAGAGCCACTACAATCTCAATGATTGTGTGGAACATTACTTTCATATAGAGACATATCGTGCAACCTATTCGGGTGTCATATTTCCTATACCATCAATGAAAAAGCTGCCTTTTGATCCCACGGACTTCACTATATACCCATCAACTGTGAAAAGACCACCCGAAGGCCGAAAAAGAATAGAATCCCATCAGGGGGTGAGAAACTAAAGCAAATAAGGTGCGAGAGATGTGATAAGTTAGGAAGCCATAATCGGAAATCATGCAAGGAGCCGATATAGGGTGTACATTTTTCATTTCAACATTGTGTTTTACATGAGATTCTTATATTGATTTTTGAAATAAGATTGTGTTGTGTTGGCAAACATTATGTTGCAATAAGATTACGTTGTATCGGCAAACATAATAATGATTTGTCAAACTTAGTATTTGATTTGTGTTTTTTCTTTTTTTCTTTTTTTTTTTTGGGTACCAAACTATTATTTTGTTAATGTTTTAATGATGAATACATGATGTGAACATTCACACTTGCGTAAAAGAATCATATTATGTGAATACTCGCACATGGGTTTAACTTTTTTAAATTATTGTTGTCAATGTTGACATGAATATAAACTGTGATGTGAACTTTCACATGCATACAGATTGACATGGTGTGAACATTCACAACTGTTATGAATAAGAACAAATGTAAACATTCACACAAGTGTATGTTATCTGTAATGATGTCATGTAGACAATGTGAACATTCCTGCACAAAATATGTATATTGTAGAACAATCGGGTTCAAACAATCGCATAAATTGACATAACAACACAGCAGTATATCATAAGTGAATATGAACATTCACATCAGTGGTACAACTGTGAACATTCACATCTATAAAACATAAGTGCATATGAACATTCACATTCACATCAGTGGTACAGATGTGAATGTTCACATTTGGCAGAGATGAATAACATTCACAACTGTTACGAATAAGAACAAATGTGAATATTCACACCTGTGTATGTTATCCATAATGATGTCATGTAGACAATGTGAACATTCCTGCACAAAATATGTGTATTATAGAACAATCGGGTTCAAACAATCGCATAAATTAACATAACAACACCAAAGGTAGATCAAAATTCACAAGTGGCTTTTTTTCCATTAATAGATGTCGTATCACTGATTTACAATCAATTATTGTGTTAAAATGTCAAAGCAGTTGATATTAACATTTACATCTAGTGTTGGTTAGTTTGTAGGTGGACACCCCCCACCTATAGGTTTTAATGACGCTCTGTTTTCTTATGATTTAAAAAACTGTGTACTAATAACTCTCGTAGTCCATACTATTCAGAACTAGTGAGGCTGCCAGCAATTTCTTCATGGTATATATGCACCCGCATGATGTAACATACTGTAGGTCCGCAGTCCACCCTGTAAATGCAAAATAGTTATGATTAGCACTTGACATGTATGTTTGCATAATGGTTATGGAGGATTTGTAAAAAATGTAGTGAGGTTTACGAGTCATCGCCCTGCTGAGGACAGATATCAACTGATATGATTGGTTGTGACGGATATTGGCCTACTAACTTAGTCCATAGCGGTGATGACTCGCCAATAACGTGCACAACGTTCTCGATGTACTTCCTTTGTGTAGGGAATTTCACATTAGACACCAACGAACATATGTGTGTGTACATTCATTTTTGGAATTTAACATATGACAATAATTCATATTTGTGTACAATAAGAGCCACTTACAACTTCCCGTGCTTGGTCGATATGCGGGTCATTTATGTCTGTCCTTGGGCGTAATGAGTTATAATGCCTCAACAAATTTTCTTTAGCATCATACACAACTATCGTCCAGCGGAAGTTATGGTGTAATGAGAATAGTAGGTATCTCTTTCCTTGGTAGTTTTTCGCATGTGCATCAACGAGTTTACTTTTTTTGCGAGGACGGTACTCTCGTATCACTTTCTATACACATTGGACAAATAATTAATGAATTGTAACGTTTCAAATTCACATTAGCAAAAATGGAGTGTTAGATTTTACCAAACACATGCTCGTGAAGATGAATAACGCTTCATCTGAAGTTGGGTTGACCACCTCTTGTTGTTCATGTAATAGTTCGACATATGCATCTATGAGCTGCACAAACATAGGGTCGTATTATATTATTTGTGGTGGGTGAACAATGTATGTCTGCGGCTGTGGGTATGTGTCTCTGTGTATATGCATGAACAGTGAATCATCTTCGTAATGGCATACATTGTTGTGTATCGATTCCTCCTTGATAAGGTTCACAATATCATCAAAATACACGTATGTAGACTTTGAGTCTCCTTTCCACACAAGCAACCTGTGCATTTTAAACAAACCAATCTGAATATTAACATTGCACAGTTTTGTACAAATCAAATAAATAAGCACAGTGGTGAATATTCACAATTATGGAATGTGAATGTTGACATTAGGTGTTCGTACAGTCACTTACTCATCGCCTCTACTCTTTTGTAAAGCTTGGACCTTTTGCTTGTCGTGTTTGGACATCATGCTCCAAACATTGAACTTGTTGGTCAAGGTCAATAATTTTTTTGAGTGCTTCGCTGGTGGGTGTTTGTCCACATCTTCAACAATGTCGATTGTATGGGGCTGTTTTGGACCTCAATCATGCTCTTTTTTTTTGCCAGGTAAGTCTGGGTACTAAAAGTCAGACAAGCGATGCTCTTCTCGACCTTTCTCCTTGATGCACTTCACCCTAGAAGGTGGGTTGAGATTGTGTTGCATTGGAGTGGGGGGTTGCTTCTGCACCTCGGCCTATGTGATAATGTGGACTAACTGATCATCGTAAAGGTCCTAAAGAACTGTTTTCTCACATTCTAAGTTGATGACCAGCTGCATTAAGCGCTTAATTTCTTTATCCTTCTACTCCATGCATTTTTTTTTTATTTCAGTATTCATGTTGGGTGGGCTTGACTGGTTGAACAATTTATCTTCAAGATCAGCTATGACTCTTGCCCTTAACTCCCATGAGAATTGAAGGTGTTTGTATGTTGCTTCCCACTACCTTATGATGCCCCAAGCCTTCCAATTTTCTTTGACAAGCATATCGATGAGGTTGGGTTGGCTTGTGTTTGCTATGACAATAGCTCTCTCATCATGTGGGCTGCTAAAGGGAATGTGAATGTCCTCATTACTGTCATTTAGCTCAACTCCATCCCCAGAAAATGGAGAGTTGCTACCACTGTGTTGTTCTTCCTTGATGTTAGAGAGGTTAGGAGATGTGGTGGTTGGTTCATAAATTTCGGGCTCCACCTTCAATGTTGTACGCCTGAACTTTTGTAATTCTGTTGGGGTTGCAAATAGTTCGCCGACATTAACATGAAATGAAAAAGTTATGTTACTTCACGTATATATTTAGGTGGTGTCAGAATGTGAATATTTTGATCAACAGTTGAAGGTCATACCTCATTAAAACTAATATCAGCCAAAGATGTGGATTTCATCTTCTTCTGTAAAGCAGTCAGATCCCACTTGACACATCGAGGAATGGCATTGGGCTTGTGAGGTTGTAGGATGGTTGTGTGCTCACATAACCAATACTTCAACAAAATAACAAAGACATATGTTATTTAACCTTTGTAGAGTAATGTCAACATATGTGAACATTCACAACAATGGCACTGTTGTGAACATTCACAACAGTATATCATGAGTGAATATGAACATTCACATCAGTGGTACAAATGTGAACATTTACATCTATAAAACATAAATGCATATGGACATTCACATCAGTGGTACAAATGTGAATGTTCACAGTTGGCATAGATGAACAACACTCAAGGACATGTGAATGTTATTATTTGAGAACAAGGGTACTTACCATTAATAACATGACACAGTCGGTGACTTTTGCCAGCTTTTTGTCATTTTGAGAAATGGAGGATGTCACGTTGTTCTAATTTGCTTGGCCTAATCATATTCTTGCATGTTTTTCAATGGGACCATATGTGTGTAGTAGCCCCATCCTATTGTCTCACTGCTTGTCGAGAAAAAAAATTTTTTGGCAAGCATACATGCAGACTAGTCGGGTGACTTCTTCGTTGTCATCTTTCTTTTTGCCTTTCAATGCCTCGGTCAAAAGGATGTGTATCCATTTTGAAGTCAACCGGCTGACATTTTTGCACCTTTTGTTTATAATGCCAATCTTTGGTTTCGCACCATATGATATGTCCATTGGCTTGGTGCCACAGTCCACACCAAAAATTAGCTTAATGTCGTCGTGTATGTTCATCTTCTTCTCCCCAATGTAGAAGGCATCTTTTGAAGCTTTGTACATTTGTAGGACATGCACAACAACATCATCGTACTTCATGCATTTGTCAAGGCCGATCTTACCGTTTCTCAATGCATCTAATAAATGCCAGAAAGGTGTTTGCCGCAGGCAGCCGAGCTGTGCTTGTGTGAATTTGGTGCTTTTCATTAATTTCACCAGTCCGGTCATGTTAGATCTGTAGTTGACACGCCGCATGCCAACATTGCTGCTAGTATTTGCTTGTGGGTTTTCTTCCTTGACATGGTACTCATCTCTTTTTCTCTTTGAGGTTTTCTTCTGTGCAATATCTGCAAAATAGTGCATTAAAAAAAAAACTAAGACAAGGTTCATGTGATTAGCATAGTGAAACAGATGTGAACATTCACAGCATTGTCATAGATATGAATGTTCATAGTTGTGTGCATGAGTGTGAATCTCCACAGTTTTGTGCATGGATGTGAATATCCACATCCGTACATGGATGTGAATGTTGACTGTGTCAGCACAAACACAATGTGCATAGTGTGTGAGTGTGTAAAAATGAATGTATGTTTATACAACCATGAACAACATTCAAGAACATGTGGATGTTAACACAAACATATAAAATGATGTTATGAACATTTACAGTACTAATTTGTATGACAATGCACATTCTTACTACAATCATGCAATGCCAATTTTATAATACAATCTCAAAATTAAAATACAATTTCAAACATGGGATAATAAAAGTGATATATTTCCTCTAAACACAATGGTTAATGTTCACAAAGTGTCTAATTAATTTACACATGTAATGAATGTTCACGACATAATTATGTATCACAACAACATCTGACACAAGGAATTTTAAATATGAATGTTTACTACGGTTAATAACAA